TGTTGTTATGTCTAAATGACTGCAATTTAAGCCAATAGAAATTTTTTTTGCCATTAGAATGATTAGTGGACTTTAAGAACTCCATAGCGATCTGTTTTAACATTTCTACTTCATCTGGTTCTTTCAAAATCTTAGCCTGAAGAATTCTGGTTCTTATCTGTGCTCTCTCCTCTGTGTCAGTAACCTGACATAATAATGAGTGACACGTGCATGTTTTCACTGTACAGTATTTTTTCAGATGAAATAAAATACTGATTTGGATTGTTTTTGTTGTATTGGGGCAATTAGAGACTTAGTGAAAACTATACACTGTAATTTTCAGGGAGTTATAATAACTCCTCTAGTGGGGCTAACTTAACTCCTTACAGTGGAGTTATTTTTCGTGGAGTTATTTTAACTCCAAAAAGGAGTTTAAAGAACTCTTTTTCAGGAGTAAAAGTGACCACAGATTTTGAGGAGTTAAAATAACCCCAAAAAAAAGGAGTTATCCTGTACCTAAAATTTTACTCCACTTTCAGAGTTAAATTAACTCCAAAAAGAGTGAAAAAACAACCCCTGTAAGGAGTACAAGTAACCTATTTGGAGTAATTTTAACTCCAAGACTGGGAGAAAAAAGAACTCTTTTTCAGGAGTAAAATGACCTCAAATTGGAGTTAAATTAGAGTTAAAATAACCCCAAAAAAGGGGTTATCCTGTACCTAAAATTTTTACTCCATTTTTGGAGTTATAATAACTCCCTAAAAATTACGGTGTATATTATATATGTAAATTATTTTTATGAAATGTCATTTTTTATCATAGATATTTTTCATTAAAGAAACCAGGGAGGAGCAGCGTGGAAGTCAACAGCAAGTTTATTATTTATTTTTTATTTCTTGTTTTCTTTTTCACCTCGCTTTAGAAAGGACTTCCGGTTTTTTTTTTTGTCCGAGGGAAACCGGTTCTAGTTTTAGCACTGAGTTTGCGCGGTATCTTTTCTCTTTCAACGGCTCTTCGTGAATGGAGAGGTTTTGATCGGAGCGTGCGAAACGGGGACTAATATGAGCTGAGTTTGGCAAGAAATTCTATTTCACGGTTTGCAAAGTGCCTGGGCCATCATAAAAGTCCGAAGGCTTAAATGGGCGCTTCGTTGCTCAAAGACCGGAGCTTTCGCTATCAATTGGAGAGATCATCCGGTGGATGGTGTATAACGTCTTGCCCAGTTTCTGCACACCGTGAAGAAGTCTCCAGCAGGCAATAAGGGGCAAAATTGGTTAGTTTTGGACATAAGAAAAGAGGCCAACGAAGTATTTGGCTGTGATTTTGCCTTGCTTGGAGACTTATAAATTGTGTTGTTATTGCCAGGGATGTAATGTGTCCCGTCGAGTTGAACACGGATTTCCAGAATGCACTGCGAGAAAGGTTAACAACATGTTTAATATTTGACCATTACAGTGAGACTGTTCTGTTGTTGTGTTTCAGTTTCTACGACGGAGGTGCTGATCTTTGAATAAAAAATGAGTAACAACGGTGAGTAGCAGGCTTTTTGCCATTGGAAAGGTTATGTTACAAAGTCGTGAAAAGTGTAGTTGAAGTCAAAAGTCTGTGGTTTCGTATAGCGAAGGTTTATTTTTGGTCATGTGTCGAGCGACTCTGGAAATTGATGTGTCCAAAAGAGCCGCCGTCCTACTGCACAGGCTGAATTGTCGTTCATTTTCACTTATTGTTGGCATTGCAAGCTAAATGCTGATCGGATCGCGGAAGAGCAACTATTTTTTCCTCAAAGTATGTTAAAGTTCTCGCGCTATAACCGTCGCGACGACGAGCCCGTTTATGCTTGATTGTCTGGAATGTTCGGTACAATGTTTTTAATTCGTTTATGCACCGGTACGGGCGATTATAAAACCATTGTGGGATGAAACTGATCTAGGAAAATGATGTAAAAGAGATATATTACTTTTTTAAACATGTGTTGAGGAATTTTCTTTAAACAAGGTTTTCCTTTTGTCCTTTCTTTCAGATGTGGCCGTTGGTTTTACTCGCCCCTCGGAGCTGGAATATTTACTCTCTGAAATGTTTATATTATCTGTGCTCTGCTGTGGTCAAACACGAAGAAAGCGAAGCGAAACGTCTTGTAAGATAACGTTAATTTAAAACTATTTGTTTGACCAGTGTTTAGTCTTCGAAAATCGCCTGTATTGAAACCACATTCTGTATTTCTCACCCCTGACCCGTCTTTTGAAATTCAATCCTACGCTCAGTACGGCGATGTAATTGATATGTAACGCAACGTTATTTGGTATCCCGCCCAGAAGTCCTCAAACGTTAACCTCAACAAACCGTACTTTTGTTTGTAACCTTTATCCTTATTTAACCCTAAGCCTTAGCTCAACTTTTAGCTATCCACCCTAACCAGCTTAACGTAACACCCTTTTCCTGACAAGGCGAACGTTTAACCAGTGGATCAACTCATGTGTTATGACCATTGAAATCAGTTGAGACTGCTCGTCTAACCCTAACCCTCCAACCTAACCTAACCTATTCCCCTAACCTCCAACCTAACCCTAACCTATTCCTAACCCTAACCTCCAACCTAACCCTAACCTATTCCTAACCCTAACCTCCAACCTAACCCTAACCTATTCCCTAACCCCAACCTAACCTAACCCTAACCCCCCCAACCTCGACCTAATCTGATTCTAACCCTAAACTATCCCTAGTCCTTACCCTAACCTAACCCTAACCCCAACCTTAACCTTAACCCTAAAACCCTAACCCTAACTCTTCCTCCCCCCCCCCCCTGCTCTTACATTTAGTAGTATACAGTAAGGACTAAGTAATAGGTGCTTTTCGAAGTTAGCCTCAAAAGGCTCTTATAAATTTTCTGTTTCTTGGAAATTAAGCTGTTTAGGTTCTCAAACATTCGAGGTTCTTATTTTCTTAAGAAAAAAAAGACTTTTTTTGTAAGAATGTTGGAGGTTTTAAATGTTTGTACAAAATATGCATGTTGTTATGTCTAAATGACTGCAATTTAAGCCAATAGAAATTTTTTTTGCCATTAGAATGATTAGTGGACTTTAAGAACTCCATAGCGATCTGTTTTAACATTTCTACTTCATCTGGTTCTTTCAAAATCTTAGCCTGAAGAATTCTGGTTCTTATCTGTGCCTCTCCTCTGTGTCACTAACCTGACATAATAATGAGTGACACGTGCATGTTTCACTGTACAGTATTTTTCAGATGAAAGAAAATACTGATTTGGATTGTTTTTTTTTGTTGTATTGGGGGCAATTAGAGACTTAGTGAAAACTATACACTGTAATTTTCAGGGAGTTATAATAACTCCTCTAGTGGGGCTAACTTAACTCCTTACAGTGGAGTTATTTTTCGTGGAGTTATTTTAACTCCAAAAAGGAGTTTAAAGAACTCTTTTTCAGGAGTAAAAGTGACCACAGATTTTGAGGAGTTAAAATAACCCCAAAAAAGGAGTTATCCTGTACCTAAAATTTTTACTCCACTTTCAGAGTTAAATTAACTCCAAAAAGAGTGAAAACAACCCCTGTAAGGAGTACAAGTAACCCCATTTCGGAGTAATTTTAACTCCAAGACTGGGAGTAAAAAGAACTCTTTTTCAGGAGTAAAAATGACCCCAAATTCGGAGTTAAATTAGGAGTTAAAATAACCCCAAAAAAGGGGTTATCCTGTACCTAAAATTTTTACTCCATTTTTGGAGTTATAATAACTCCCTAAAAATTACGGTGTATATTATATATGTAAATTATTTTTATGAAATGTCATTTTTTATCATAGATATTTTTCATTAAAGAAAACCAGGGAGGAGCAGCGTGGAAGTCAACAGAAGTAAGTTTATTATTTATTTTATTTCTTGTTTTCTTTTCACTCGCTTTAGAAAGGACTTCGGTTTTTGTTTTTTTTTTTTGTCCGAGGGGAACCGGTTCTAGTTTTGAAAGGTTCGAGTTTGCGCGGTATCTTTCTCCTTTCAACGGCTCTCTTCGTGAATGGAGAGGTTTTGATCGGAGCGTGTGCGAAACGGGGACTAATATGAGCCGAGTTTGGCAAGAAATTCTATTTCCACGGTTTGCAAAGTGCCTGGGACATCATAAAGTCCGGGAAGGCTTAAATGGGCGCTCGTTGCTCAAAGAACCGAGCTTCGGGCACAATCCGAGAGACCATCCGGTGGATGGTGTATAACGTCTCTGCCCAGCTCTGCACACCGTGAAGAAGTCTCCAGCAGGCAATAAGGGGCAAATTGGTTAGTTTGGACATAAGAAAAGAGGGCCAACGAAGTATTTGGCTGTGATTTTTGCCTTGCTGGAGACTTCTAAATTGTGTTGTTATTGCCAGGATGTAATGTGTCCCGCACGAGTTGAACACGGATTTCCCAGAATGCACTGCGAGAAAGGTTAACAACATGTTTAATATTTGACCATTACAGTGAGACTGTTCTGTTGTTGTGTTTCAGTTTCTACGACGGAGGTGCTGATCTTTGAATAAACGAGCAACAACGGTGAGTAGCAGGCTTTTTGCCAGGAAAGGTTATGTTACAAAGTCGTGAAAGTGTAGTTGAAGTCAAAGTCTGTGGTTTCGTATAGCGAAGGTTTATTTTTGGTCATGTGTCGAGCCACTCTGGAAATTGACTGTGTCCAAAAAGAGCCGCCGTCCTACTGCACAGGCTGAATTGTCGTTCATTTTCAATTTATTGTTGGCATTGCAAGCTAAATGCTGATCGGATCGCGGAAGAGTAACTATTTTTCCTCAAAGCATGTTAAAGTTCCCGCGCTATAGCACCGTCGCGACGACGAGCGCCGTTTATGCTTGATTGTCTGGAATGTTCGGTACAATGTTTTTAATCTGCTTTATGCACCGGTACGGGCGATTATAAAACCATTGCGGGATGAAACTGATCTAGGGAAAATGATGTAAAAGAGATATATTACTTTTTAAACATGTGTTGAGGAATTTTCTTTAAACAAGGTTTTCCTTTTGTCCTTTTCTTTCAGATGTGGCCGTTGGTTTTACTCGCCCCCTCGGAGCTGGAATATTTACTCTCTGAAATGTTTATATTATCTGTGCTCTGCTGTGGTCAAACACGAAGAAAGCGAAGCGAAACGTCTTGTAAGATAACGTTAATTTAAAACTATTTGCTTGACCAGTGTTTAGTCTTCGAAAATCGCCTGTATTGAAACTACATCTCTGTATTTCTCACCTCCTGACCCGTCTTTTGAAATTCAATCCTACGCTCAGTACGGCGATGTAATTGATATGTAACGCAACGTTATTTGGTATCCTGCCCAGAAGTCCCTCAAACGTTAACCCTCAACAAACCGTACTTCTTGTTTGTAACCTTTATCCTTATTTAACCCTAAGCCTTAGCTCAACTTTAGCTATCCACCCTAACCAGCTTAACGTAACACCCTTTTCCTGACAAGGCGAACGTTTAACTCAGTGGATCAACTCATGTGTTATGACCATTGAAATCAGTTGAGACTGCTCGTCTAACCCTAACCCCCAACCCTCCAACCTAACCCTAACCTAATTATTCCTAACCCTAACCTCCAACCTAACCCTAACCTATTCCTAACCCTAACCTCCAACCTAACCCTAACCTATTCCTAACCCTAACCCCCAACCTCGACCTAATCTGATTCTAACCCTAAACTATCCCTAGTCCTTACCCTAACCTAACCCTAACCTAAACCTTAACCTTAACCCTAAAACCCTAACCCTAACTCTTCCTCCCCCCCCCCCTGCTCTTACATTTAGTAGTATACAGTAAGGACTAAGTAATAGGTGCTTTTCGAAGTTAGCCTCAAAAGGCTCTTATAAATTTTCTGTTTCTTGGAAATTAAGCTGTTTAGGTTCTCAAACATTCGAGGTTCTTATTTTCTTAAGGAAAAAAAGACTTTTTTGTAAGAATGTTGGAGGTTTTAAATGTTTGTACAAAATATGCATGTTGTTATGTCTAAATGACTGCAATTTAAGCCAATAGAAATTTTTTTTGCCATTAGAATGATTAGTGGACTTTAAGAACTCCATAGCGATCTGTTTTAACATTTCTACTTCATCTGGTTCTTTCAAAATCTTAGCCTGAAGAATTCTGGTTCTTATCTGTGCCTCTCCTCTGTGTCACTAACCTGACATAATAATGAGTGACACGTGCATGTTTCACTGTACAGTATTTTTCAGATGAAAGAAAATACTGATTTGGATTGTTTTTGTTGTATTGGGGGCAATTAGAGACTTAGTGAAAACTATACACTGTAATTTTCAGGGAGTTATAATAACTCCTCTAGTGGGGCTAACTTAACTCCTTACAGTGGAGTTATTTTTCGTGGAGTTATTTTAAAGGGGTTATCCTGTACCTAAAATTTTTACTCCATTTTTGGAGTTATAATAACTCCCTAAAAATTACGGTGCAGAGGATACCAGTTTTACCAAGTAAATATTATTGCTGTGGCGACTAATTCTGGGAATGGCACATACTCCAGCGAGGCAACAATTGTAAGAACCAACGAAGGAGGTAAAAAGCAAAAGAAAAAATGAACGCTATTTTTTTGAATTCACCTTGAACGTGGGGGGAAGTAGAAGTAAGATCAACGTGGAAACTTCTCTTGCAATACATTTCACCACGGTCACCCCACATCGGTTGCACATTAGACCTGACTATGGTGGGACGTAACACAACCAGTAGGGACATATAATAGCACTTTACTTGAAGTCAGGCTCTGTTGTGTTAGCCTATCCACATCTAGTGTCGTAAATCTAACGTTAAAACCGCTGTTTCGTTAATTGACTTTGAGGACGAAAAGGTTGAATGCCTTTCCATTGAACTCTTATCTGTTAGTCAGCAAAGGAATAAACACTGACTGTTACTATAATCTTATCATCAAAACATTTTACATTCCTCGCAGTTCCAAGCCGTGCACCAACGAAAGTCAGTGTTGTAAACCAAGGATTGAATGAGTTATTGGTCAGATGGGATCCCCTCCCCACGCAGTATGCCAATGGTCGTATATTGGGATACAACGTGTACTACAAAAGGACCCAGTACTACTACTATTCGGACACCATTGTCAGGATCAACAACACAAAATTGCCGAAAGTAGTTCTGCCGAATATTCAGACTGGAGAACGTTACCAAATTTCAGTGGCTGCTTTCACTTCTGTAGGAACAGGGCCCAGGTCATCCCTTGTTTATGTGACGAAAGGTAAAAAAAAAAAATACTAAGACTAATGCACTTTGGTTAAGCTGTAGATATGAAATAACCACTGAGTTAATTAAATGTTTTTGTTGTTACAGTTTTTATTATTTTTTTATTTTTTTATTTTTTATTATTATAATTTTTTTTTTTTAAGGTTGTGGAGGCGTTGTGAACCAGTCGTTTGGTTGGTTGAATTTCACCAAGTCCAACTACAATACTCTGAACTGCAGTATTCAGATAAATAATGCTGGTGTGAATCCAGGTTTCGCCCTGATCTCATTTCAGTTCATATACTTAAGATACTGCAGGTAAGCGGAATATTGTGTTCATCATTAAATGAAAAAGAAAGAACCAAGGCCTCCATCGGTTTTGCTAGAAAACTGTCATGGTCTAAAAAGGGTAATGAGACTTTCCTCTTTTCTAATGGTCTTCGAATGTTCTTGTGTTAAACTTTGGTTTCGATGACAGTTTTCTAAGTAATTCTTCGCTGCTTCCACAAAGTGTTTCACTAGTCTCATTTCTTGTTCTCTGCAGCGAGTTCATCAAAATTTATGACCACACTGGCAATGAGGTGTTCCGTCGACAAGGTTGTAATTCATTTAGTGGCGCACAGTCGGTTGAAGTTCCCTTTGGTGACGGAGACAGCATAACATTGATGGTCCTACTTTCATACCGATATAGCTACGCCAGAATTCAATACACAGTGTTACAAAAAGCACTGGACTCAGGTAACAAATTACCCTCGGGTGCACCCCAAAATGACATGCTGGAGTCTTTGCAAATTACCATGACATTGCAAAAACCCAGACGGGCCGGGAGGGGGAGGAGTTTAACTGCTTCAAAATAGTTGCAAAATGAGGCGGGTCGCACCTCTCGTAACAAATCTTAGGATTGACTGAAAAAAAACAATAAACAAACAAAGGAAGGAATGGACCCTAGCCGTGAAACAGTAGAGGTGCGTGCTATGGGGAGACAGTCAAATTACAGTTTACTGAGAGGTGCGCAGCTACTGTTAAAGACCCGTTGTCAGTAACTTGCAGAGAATTCGGCGCCAGATCAAGAAATCGAAATCCTTTTTTTCATTTCACCGAAAAAAAAACCCTTTTGGTATACTATTTTCAAAAATAATATTGAAAAGTTCCAGCGAAAATCCGTTTTCGCGAAAAATAGGAAAGTTTAAAATCGGCCTAAACCTCTGGCCGAAGGCCCGATGGAAATTATGCAAAATAGGGTATTTTGTAAACCCTCATACGAAAATCATAATCATAATCATAATCATAATCATAATCGTAATCATAATCATAAAACGAAAGCTAGTCTATACTTAATCTTTGCCAGGTTTGTTACACACTTCTCAAAGTTACTTTGAAGCTATATTTTATCTTGATCGAGGCTTTCTTTCTATTTCTTACACCCGTGCAAAAAAAACCAAAGAACATATAACAAATTGGGGTTACTAGGTTTCCGTATGTTTCTGTTCTGTTTATTTACCTGTGTAAGGGATGTTCTGATGTGTTCCGTGTTTTGGAACATACCGATCACAACCTAGTTTCCAGAATGCAAAAGCAAGCTACTTCTAGTTCGATTATGGAAACAAAAGCCATCAGGGAGAGCAAAAACATTGACCACTCACATAGTTGCAGCCATTTGATGTTTCTTTTTCGCTCGTTATAATTACCCAGTCGAGCTTTTCGCTGACATTCTTCACATCTTTACGATAAAAAGTGATACCTGTTTCTCAGATTGCTTTTTCCACCTAGAACTACCCGACTTTTTGCATGGTTTGAAAGCAGAAAAGCAAAATGTGGGCAATAACAGGACCGACAGTTTTAGTTTATGCGACGGCAACAGGTCTAAAACCAACACAGGAGCCGAAAATTTTCACCACTCGTTTACTAAGTTTGTCACGCCTTACCTAGAATGTACTAGAACACGTCACCAGAACATCAAAACCGTATTTATTAAAAATGGACTGCTTTTAAAATGTTCGTTAGGCAAAATATATCAATTATAATGAAAAAAAGGGGTTGTACAGATAGCAGCAAGGTTTTTATGCGGAGAATGTGTTACTAGCACTGTGAGCTGAATAAATTAAGAACGAAAAAAATCGTAAGAGTGCACTTATGATACATTTTCTTGTAGCTTGCTCGCTTTTGGCTAAATAGAGACTAGCACTCGTACCAGGGTTTTCAAAATGTCCTGATTTGCAAAATGTCCATAGGGCTTTCGGCCAGGTTTAGGCCGATTTTAAACTTTCCCATTTTTCGCGAAAACTGAACTTCGATGGAACTTTTGAACACTGTTTTTGAAAACAGTTTACAAAAAGGTTTCGTTGGTGAAATAAGAAAATCTAATTTTTTGTGCTAGCGTCGGATTCCCGATAGTTATACTGACAACGGCTCTTAAAATCTCCGACCTTTTACTGAACAACCCTTCCTCCGCACCAACTGTGGCTGCTGTGTCACGAAGCATTTATATCGTAAACTATGTGGACGTGGTTCTACTTTAATCTATACGCCTGTTCAACACTCAACTCCTTTAACAGTACGTCAAAAGGAGTATCTCGTTTACCAATCTGTAAATAATACGCCTTAATTTGTGAAAACCTCTCTTAATGATTGTTTTTTTTTCTTTTCAGTCTTTTTTATTATTTAATTTATTTACTTTTTATTATATCAGCGCAAGTGTTGCCTTCTTGGAATGTCACCGTCACCTACAAGACTTCATCGTCATTGACAGTCCGCTGGTCAAATTTCCCTTTGAGTATTCCAATCCGGCAGTTTTTGGTGAGATATAAGGATCAGAATTCAAACTTCAGCTTGATCTACAAGGTCTCGAATTGGTATAACTCACATAACTCTGGGAGTATACTTAGAGGGTACCAGTTTTACCAAGTAAATGTTATTGCTGTGGGGGTTTATTCTGGGAATGGCACTTACTCCAGCCAAACAACAGTTGCAAGAACCAACGAAGGAGGTAAATAAAAAAAAAATGATAATAAATAAATAAAAGCTAACAAAGGAAAACAAAAAATAAATAAAAATAAAAAAAAAATAAAAGAAATATAAATAAAACAGAACAAAATAAAACCCTTTACCCTTAACTTCAACTGGTCGTACTTAATGGTATTGAATAATCGTTCATTTATCTTTTTAAGTGCTATCAAACACATGAACAATTCAAATTTACGAAATACCAAAATCGCTTCAAGTTTTAGCTTCATTGGCTGTTTCGAAAGTTCGCAGTAAAAACCAAAACTAAATAAAGCAAATCAACCACGGAAACAACAACAATAGCAAAGAGAGTCAACAGTTTACCTTTCTTTTACTAAATGGCTGGTGATTTTGATAGTCAGGTCTACAAGATTTCTTTTGATGTAGTTTTTAGGTATCGCTTAGACGTGAGACACCCCTGGTAACCTTGAAGCAATTCGCCTGTTACTTCTCTCCTCTTTTGTGTACCGTCTTACCAATCCGACATTTGTTAATCTTTTGATTTTCTTAGTGCCCAGCATTGCACCTTCAGGCTTACGAGTTTCCAGACTACAGTTCAGTGAATTAAAGGTGCAGTGGAATCCAATACCTCAGCACAGTGTAAATGGCCGACTGCTGGGATATGTAGTCTACTACCAAAAGTATCCTTATTATTGGTATAGCACAAAACGAGTCAACACAAGTAGCCCAGATGTCCATATGCTGGTGCTAAGCGATTTGAAAGCAGTACACTCCTACAGAGTCTGGGTGGCGGGGTTCACACGTGCAGGAACTGGACCACAGTCATCTTCATATTACGTCACAACTGGTAAATTACACTATGTTCTATCCTGTGGCTGGATATAGAAAGATATCCAAATTTAAGATTCGTCATACCTATTGCTTCTCAAGAGTGGTCTATTTTTATTTATTTATTTATTTATCTATTTTCCGATACAGTACTTCCTCCCTTCCCCCAAAACCACAGGAAATTATTTGCCTCAATCAAGTATCCAGTATCCTAAATTCTTGCGTTTATTCTGAAGCCCTTAAAAAAGTATTTTATAGATTCCATTCTTATCATTTAGATCAGATCAGAGCATACCGGTCAGACAGTACTTAAGATTTATTACGTTCGACGTTCATCTGCTTTTCGGCGCAATTTTGAATTACGTCATATGTGCGTGCGCATCACACTGGTTCAATCAAGGTCAACCGGATGCAACTGTTGCCAAAAGCAAGGAAATATTTGAGTTCGACGAAGGGATGAAATTTGTAGTTGTTTTCGAAGTGGGTTTTATCGCTGAGCTGTCGATTCTGTCCTACCTTTCTGGGTGTTACTACATTGTTAGACCAATAAATGTTGGAACGGTTAAATCGACCTAAACCTTTGTAGGAAGACACAATTAAGCACCAGGTAACGTTTGTGCCGTCTGCGGTCTATTAAATGATTTATCAGTGCGTTGAGTCGATATATGTATTCGCAGTTTTATTTCCCACCAACACGAGATGCATTCCGGGATAAAATACGTGTGCGGAAGTTTATACATATAATGATTTATCGACGTCAGATATATCTGCGGGGAGGGGGGGGGGGAGTTGTTGATAAGACCCTTCCGCCTAACAATATAAGTTTAAGGTAATTTCCTTGTTTTTCACTGCGCATCACTTAGTGAGCATAACTTCAGAGGTGGCGATGATTTTCAGTTGTGGCCTAAAAAGATGTAATTAAGGCCTCTTTTGAAGTCCCGACGCATTGAATTAGTGCGTCGGGACTCAAAAAGAGGCCTTAATCTTGGGAGCGATTTTGAAGACTCTACTATTATAAGACTTTTTGTCGGTTATTCGTGTTTCGATCGAACATCTAGCGCGCAGCGGGGAAAATACACTCAGAATTACGGGCATGTAGGGTGAAAACAGGCACGGTGACCCCATCTTTTTATTGTAGGTTTTGAATTTCTTATATATGGTTGACATTTGTGCGAAGTTTGAAAAAAATCTTGAGAGTACATCCTTTTCAAGAGAATTACCATAAAACACTGTGAAATAGTGAAATACACCAACTGAATGAAGCTGAACAGTTCGCACAATGACAAAATATTTTTACCTGAAGCGACGTCATTCAGGTTACCAGGCTTTTGGACATTTGTAGTGATATTTTTTATATTTTAACAAAAATGGAGCTTTCTACGATTGTTTTTTGGTTGCTTGTTTGTTTGTTTATAAATGTTTTCATAACCTTTTCCTAATTTTCAAATAAGCTTGACGGCAAATCTAAGAAAAGTCCACCGCACTCACTAATCTATGACTACCAGAACTTTTAGCAGAGGATGATTCAGTAAACCAGGCCCCTGACAACCTGTCTGTTTTGTATAGCTTCTCTTCTCTTCTTGGGAGTTGGTTTCCTGATAGTTCTCGTTCTCCTTTTTCTCCGTTCTCTAGAAAACACTACCCGTAATGTTTCCTTTGCTGCCCACTTTTCGATAAGTGCCCATCCTCACTGGAAGGTCTTGCCGCAGTTCTTGTCACTAGCCCAGTTTTGATTTTATTTTATTTTCATGTTGGAACTCCTTTGGAAGTTAACAAAAAAATAATAATGAAAAAATAAATAAATAAAAAATAATCATTTCATCCACAACTACATGTACGTTGCTTTATTTTCTTATTGTCAAATAGGTTGTGGAGGATACGCAAATCGCTCTTTTGGCCATTTACAGATTGACTCTAACAGGGGCTCGAGCTACGTCACTTGTACATTTGTGGTTGGTAGAGTTGGCATAAATCAGGCAGTTGCACTAGTTTGGATACAAGATCTGTATTTGTCATATTACAGGTACTGATTTGTTTGTAGATTCCCGTCTGATTATTTTTTGCAGTTTTCCAAAGTTTGTTTACTTTTTTTGAGTGAACATCAATCATGCCAAAGGAATAAATATAATTTTATTTTACAATGGAATCTCTTATAACCGACACATTGCGTATAAGTAAGAAGATCGAGAGCTCTATTTATGTGCCTCATTGACGGCAACTTCGTTATTAGGAACTAGTAATCAGTACATAAGCTAATAAAAAACCCATAACAAGGAGATATAATACCACATAGGAGCATTATATTTTTTTTTTCTGAGATGACAACTGCACTTAAATCTTTTAGGTTGACTGTGACGAAATAATAGAAAGCGTTTGATTTTATTTTTGAGTACGTTACTGCCCTCTCAATTTAGTGAATATATCAACATAACTGACGGAAATGGATCGCTGGTTTGGTATAAGTACGGATATCACTCGTCTGGTCTGACATCTTACCTCGAAGTTGGGTTTGGAAATGCTGATAACATAACTGTTCAGATCTATTTAAGAAACAGCTACAGTCGCTTCAAGCTTCAATACGGAATTATCAAGCAAGGCCTTTTCTCAGGTAACAATCGTTTCATAGTGTTAACAAATCTACTAATTCTTATAGGGTGCCATGTGATATTAGTTTTACATAATGGCGTCCTAGGAGAACCAGGCAGGCAGCCAGTTGAGACAAACTATACGTGCGTTGCTTCTTTTTGTTATCAATTTGACTTAAAATTACTGATCTAGTTGAACTGGTTCTAGCAGATTTTGCACAACTTACAACATTGATACCTTGATATAAGCCTAGTAACATTCATTTGTTGTTTTCATTTGTTCTATTTTATTACCCCTGATATATCGTTCTCTCGAAAAGGTTTTATATTTTCCTTATCATACACCTTATTGGAAAAATTTTGTCGCTTGAAAAGTATAAAATACGAACGATGGGACCTAATGGATTTATGGGTAGAACTTAATTAGCATTACAAATTTAAAGTTCTTTTCAGAAATTTTTACATTACTGAAGCTTTTCTCGACGATACAATCTAACAAACGTTAAACGGTTTCTATTTTTCATTGCGATAAGCTAACAACTTCACCTGTGCTGGACACATAAGAGATGTCTGCAGTTAAAGAGCGTAGCCATATCGCTAACGCACTCTTGAAAATCATAAGATAGAACCTAACAGCTTTCTTGGAAGACAAAAAATACAACGGGGTGCCTTAAACAAAGTACTCTAGCGATTTACATCCACACGAGCATCTCGTGACAATGAACACTTTTGTCGAAAGAACTTTGAATTTGCTATGCTAATGAATGTATACCCATAAATCCTTGAAGCTTCATCGTTCATGTTTAGACTTTTCCGCGACAAAGTTTTTTTTCAATCCGGTATATTCATTCTTGCTGCCTCTGGTTTATCTTTTAGCCATACCTTCAGACTGGAATGTGACCATTGGCAACACCTCGAGAACGTCGATTAGAGTCCATTGGGAGAATTTAGCACCACTTATCGATGATACCGTACTGTATTATATTGCTAACGCCCATGATGGTAACCTATCAAGTGCAACGGTCGTTCCTGGGAATTCAAGCACTGCAAACGTTCTGGGGCTGTCAACATACACCGAATATCAAGTAAGCGTCATGGGGATAAACAGGCATGGTCAACCGTACAATAGCTCAAGCGTCACAGTCCGGACAGAGGAAGGAGGTGTGTGTTACATGACGTTACAGACAAAACGCGTAATCGACGCCACGTCAACAGAGAATAATTTATTTCACTATGCATTTGAAACGCTTGCGGATGAGCGTCGATATAACCTCGGAATATGGTATATAGCCTGCTTGCAGACGTCTCTTATTTCCTTCGTGGCAAGGGACGCATGCGTTACTGCGTGCTTCCGTATCCACATCTTTCTATACGCTTCTCTTTTCTATAGTCACCGGATTCTCTATATCTCTAGACGACACATGATTCCATAAATAACTTCCATTAAAGCATCAGTCTGACAAAAGCTTGAATTTTTCGATTCTAAGTTTTTTCTGCACTCATGTGACCTTCAGTATATGGAGTATATGTCTATTATATCAAATAATAATAATAATAATAATAATAATAATAATAATAATAATAATAATAATAATAATAACTTTAAGGAATACATGAAGCGAATCGGCGTGAACGTGAGGTTAGACGTTATCCAGAAAACAGCATTGTTGGGGACAGCAAAGATACTAAGGAAAGTATTGTCCCTGTAAGAAGACGAAAAAGAGAGACCTGGGGCCCGTGGTGACTTGTTGTAACCCGCTCCTAAGGACTATAAACCAAGAGTATATGCATGTCGATTATATCAAAACAACAACAACAACAACAATCTTAATAATAATAATAATAATAATAATAATAATAATAATTGTCGTGAGGTATGCTGAAGACTAAGCTAATTTCTTGGACTTATCTTTAGTTGAGGTAATGGATATCTAACGCTAGTCTATTGAGAATCGAATGAACTTGAACCTCAAAAAGAAATGGTGGTTAGAGGAAATACTAAAAACCAATCCCGGAACCCATGAAAGATATTGCGAGGAAGGGAGATCTCAATTAAGTTATTAGGAGTGACATTTAACGAGCAACCATGAGTCTAGGAGAGGCATTTCGATCATATGATTTCTGACTTAATACGTGGAAAAGATTTGGGATTATGGAAGGAGGTGACCACTGACAATCACGGTTTAACTTATCTTATCCCCATGAAGCGCATGCGGAAACTACGAGAAAGGGGTCACGATTAGATTTTGCCCCTTGTTAGAACTGAAAGGTTCAAGCGATGTTTAATCAATAGATGCCTTTTAAATGTTATTTAGATTTTCAATTTACATCCTATATTTTAGTATATACTATTATACGATTATTGTTAACTCACACGTATTCTTGTGGGTGTTATTTTCAATAAAGGCAAATAAAGAAAGAAACAAACAAAGATATTCATGAGTTGCCAAGACCATGGAGAATCATCACTTAATTAATAGTTCATAGATCATGTGCATAGGCAGAACAGTTCTCTTCAATTGATCGCCTTTTTTTTTTTTTTTTTTTCTTTTTTAGTTCCCAGCAGAGCACCGTCCAATGTGAGAGTGTCTAACGTACGGTTTGATCAACTTAAAGTTCAGTGGAATGCACTCCCTCAGCAATTCGCTAATGGGCGTCTCCTTGGATACACAGTCTACTATTACGAGTATTATAACTCATATGTTATAAAATCGGTTAGCACCAGAAGTCCGTACGTAAACATGGTAATATTAAGAGGTCTCAAGGCAGCTAGTCGTTATCAAATAGCTGTGGCAGCCTTTACGTCTAAAGGCGCTGGAACGCAGTCCTACTGGCTGTACGTAACAACAGGTATTTTTTTTTATTTTTGTGTTGTTTTGTTTTGTTTTTTTTTTGGCATAATGCTAACTACCACAATTATTATTTCGCTGAATCCGCAAGTGGCCAAGATGTAGCGAATCCTGCGTTCTGATCGGCTACCCGAGCGGGCAAGAAGGGCTCATGTTGCCCGCTTGAGATTTCCCACGTTGGTCCCATATATATCCTTTATTGACCAAGCTTGTTCGGTCAAGATGATTGGATATTGGCCTCCTTCTTTTTTGCATTTTCATTGACCTCCACTTCGTCGCGAAAAAAGAACTTTGCCTGCATCTAGTCATCTTGACTTCACGACTCCCGATAACTCAACCCTAACGCAACCTTATTACCAAAATATTTATTTTCCTACATTCCTGTAATTTTACCCTAACTCGAACCCTCGACCAATTTTCCCGTTCCCTTCAGGTCATTTTTCTATATAATTTTACCCTCGATAACTCGAACCATGTTTTGAGCCCTTAAAAGCCGTCTACTGGCGTCCGAAACATTGAATTTTGGATTTCCTATTGACGTGTTGTAGGAGTATAGTTTACTAGTGGAGGCTAATGTTGATTGTCACAGGGTAACGTGAAGCAGCTTTTCTTCTCAAAACAGCAAAACGCATGCTTTATTTAAGCTATGTTTTGTTACGTTACGTTCTGATTTATAATCTAAAAGTATCTTTTAATTTTCACTTGGCATTTCTGCAATTAAATGTGATTAAAATGTTCACTGTGCAGTAAAAAGTGTTTTTTTACCTTACTCTGGGCTATTTTCTTCGAACTCCCGGTAACTCGAACTCCCGATAACTCGAACCTTTTTTCGATTTCCCTTGAAGGTTCGAGTTATCGGGAGTCGACTGTATTTGTCTGATTTTGATTGGCTCAAATACCTCGGATAGAACACCCTTCTTTATCTTCACAATTCTTCATATGACAGCGTCATCCAGTAATTCTTAAATGCCTTTTTTTTTCTTCTTCCTCTTTTAATTTAACGCGATGAACTGAGAGGAAATTCTCACTTTTTCTAATAAATTTAACTGCGAAAAATGAGTATCGGTATATTTTTAATTCAGTGCCAAACACACCTTAGCATGTCTCGTTCAACAGCGTATTAAAAAAAAATCATGGTGATGTTAAATGCAGCATTTTTATCGCTACACAGTATAACAAGAGGCACTGTTTGATTTGTAGGTTGTGGAGGTGGCTTAAATGAGTTGTTTGGTAACTTGCAAGTCGGCCGCAGTTCATACTATAGTTACTATACGCTGCAATGTACCTGGAAGATTGGGAATGCAGGGATAAGCCAAGCTGTTGCATTTGTGTCCTTACCGGACCTCTATTTGTCTTATTACAGGCGAGTATGATATGTTTATACACACGTAGAAAGGGAAACCTGAGGTAAAAGATACAGGCGTCCTGAGAGTATTGATTAACATGAATTAAACGATGAGCCAGTGTTTGGTTCTAATTGCTCAGTACTCTAATCCCAGTAAAAATAAACAAACAAGCAACGGTCTAGACTAAGTAAAAGATTATTTAGATAGATGTAAACAATTGTCGAACCTTAACGTATTTATCGGATTTATCGGAGAGTCAGGTGAATAAATACCCGGATTACTCATTTTCTGTCTTAAAGAATTTTAATTTCTTCTTTTGTTAATGGTAGGTGGAGAAGCTTCTTTTGGATTGTTTCCTGTTTCAAATCGCTTTAATTGCTTTTGCGTGAATTTAAGAGTTTGTCTTGTTTTTGCGAACGGTTGGTCTGAAATGATGGACTCACCTCATTGTCCGTTGAACAACATAAATCTGTTAGCAGAGTATCGGCTCGTTAGCGGTGTTTTTATATCCAAATGAGCTGCATAGTTAATGATGGTAGGGGCTCGCGTTAGCGCAGCTTGGAGGGTGTGGTCTCGTAGAGCGGAGGGTCGCGCGCGCGGAGGAGAGTCACGTGATCAAGAATCGCGCGGTGGATTCGGTTGCCCTGGCTCGCTCGTAATCACCTTAGAATCGGTGTCGAAATACAAACAAAGTTCCTGAAGCAATTCTACGACTTCATACAAATGTAAACGGGCCCAGTAAGCGGTGAAACAAGTCAAGAAAATATTGACATGGATTGCAGATAGATCGTCTTTACTTGTTTTCTTGTAATAGACCTCCACAGTGTCATCCGTGACGACATCGATAGAGCACACATCAATTTCACCAGTGTCACCCAGGAACTCTGTCAGCTTCTGATGCTCAGTGAAATCTTGAATCTGGGTCTTGTTAGGCGCTTTTCGGAGCTTCCCCCACACATTGTTAAGGGTAATTTTTGCCACGCTTCTGAGACCCTTATTACACTCCATTTTGTGTCTCAGAGTCTTCCCTTTCCGCAACCAGCAAGTTAGCCTCGTGCTGTTCATGAGTTTGCATCACTTCATGATCAAAAAAACACATGCAAGGGATCTTCTTCTTCTTCCGGCGTTTTCACTTTTTGAATGAAACAGGAATGTTCCAGGACCGGCACATACTGTTTGCAGCTCCGGCATTCATCATAGCCCCATTGATGCTTTCTAACTTCTTACTGCTTTTCAATAATCTCCGACAATCAGGGCAGATTTTTCCTCAATTCACACACACTCGCACACGTCAGTCCTTTACCCCTTTTACCACGATAAGCGGTCTTCTTATAGTTGGCAAAACACACTTCTCCATAGAAAAAAACGATAGCAGCGTCCACACTGAAGAGTCACGCGACTGCCTCGGTGAAGGTAATCAGGACAACCATTCGTTAAACAAGCTGAACAATGTTCTTTATTGACATTGCGTTGATGTTGGCCTTGATTACCATAGCCTCGATAACAATAGATATAGACATGCTTCTTGTCCCAGTAGCCTTGGAGAAACTGCGTGAAACCCGCTTGCCTAAAACGTATCAGATTAAACGAGACGCAAAGCGATATGAGTTGTACACCCTTCCTCAGTACAAGTATTATCGGTTGGTGTTTAACTAAAGGGGTGGTCGATCCTGCTACCTTCAAAACTTACCCGTACTGGTATTATGACCCAGAGACTTTCATGACAATATATTAATTAAACGAATGTAAATAATGTTTTATCTTGTAAATACACTTTTTTTGAAGTCGTTGCGTGGTAGTGAAAATAGAACATTTTCCAGTGATAGCGTGACATGATATAGCGTGACATTTTTTTCCGAAAAAAACTAGTTTGCGTCACCGTGTGAAAAGGGCGGATAAACAACTAGTGTTTTCCACATGTCCTGTTGGTAACCGGGTTTGTTTAGTCAAATTATAAACATAGCAGAATTGTATATCGGTGTCTTGATTTTCGTGGGGGAAGGTTGACTGCGCATGCGTGGTAGAAACCTCATGTCTCTCTTTACCGTTTGTTTACACATGTAAACCTTCCCTCTTTATTTATATGGGGAGACGTCATCCGTCCGACACGAACCCGCTAGTATCCGAACTCCGACTAGAACACGAACCTTATCCCGACAAGTACTCCAACTCCGACTGGTAACCGAACACGACCATAATCTGACCAGTACCCGAACTTCCACTAGTACCAAAACACGAACCCTAACCCTAGACTATTGCGAGGATGGTCCGACCATAATTCGAGGGTAGTCCGATGAGAATCCTAGCCACACCCTCAAAGCTACACTAACGCTAAGCTTAATACACGAACCAGGCGCGATCACATGACCTTCCCGGCGCGCGCGACCCCACGCTCTAATCCTGGCCACACCCAAAAAAACAGCTTCAGTGCTAGCCTCATTTCCATCCCGGCACACTACGACACTTTCAGTAGTGCATCCCAAATGTTACCTGAACGCCCGGATACCCTGCTTCTGTTGTTTGAAGAAGGTCGTTTGAAAGTATTTTATATCGTCTGAATTTTTTTTTTTTTTTTCGTACAGCGAGTACATTAAGGTAATTGATGGTAACGGTATCACGGTTCTCAGTCGCTATGGATACTCGTCTGCAACTCAGAAAACTTTCCGGAAAGTTTCATTTGGAAATTCTGGGAACATCACTGTGCAGATCTACCTAAGGCGAAGCTACAGTAACTTCAGGCTACAATTTGGAATTTTAAAACAAGGACTCCAATCAGGTTAGCATTTCTGTTACAGCTAAACTCATTTTATATGTAATATTTATATATTTACATACGCTCGTCTGCGAATAATAAAAAAAAGGTATCATTCAAAACGATAGCTATGGAGATATTGGAGATATTGAGTGAAATGCCCCTATTTACAAAACCGATTACAATATGATCATAACAAAAGTGAATCAAGTAATCTTGTACTATTCAAGCCTGTGGGTGTATAAGAACAAAAACTAGCGTGGGCTTAAGGCGGTTAAAGTGACTCTCTGTATGCAACTATATATTTTTTGTTTAACTGTTGTTGTTGTTTTATTATGGCGGAATTTCTCAAGGTTTTCAGCTTTTCTTTTTTTTTCTGCTTAAGTGTTTTTGGTGAGACATTTCTGTGACGTGAATATGATAGTTTATAGGTAACGACCAATCATAGCACCCGCAGCGTGCACTACACTGTATGAAACTTAATAGTTCGGAGGGTGTTATTCGCTGTACCGATGAAGGATGAGAACCTTAAGATAAATAACTCGAAACATTTATTTGATCATTTACTCATTTTTATTTTATTTTATTTGTGTTTTTATTTGCATTAATATTTACTGTATATAAGACATATAACTCACACTCCGTTTGGAATATATGGCAAAACGGAAGGTAGAATTCCCCTTATTTGTGCTTCGAACCACTTTTAAACGCACATAAAAGCCTGTCCCGAAGGGAGCAGGTTAAAAAACAAATGACGTAATCCCATGGAGTCCATACACAAGCACCTGGTCCCAAGATCGATCCTCTGCATCATTTTTTTCTGCTGTGCTTCAAAACTACCACAAGTAAATGAATCTTTACCGCACTTTTTTCCTTAGGTTTTTTCCTTTTTCACCTATAGCTACACCTCCTCGATAGGGAGGAAATCTTTGGAAGCTGTTTATTTTCAAACTGATTTGACCTTTCTAGTCGCAGGAAACGATTACAAGACGAAAACGGTTTCATCACTCGTCTTCGCGTTCCCGCTATCACGAACGCTCGCACTCGACAAACAGTTTTCCGCCTAAAGGGCGGAAAACTCCGGATTCTGTGCCTCCAGCAGCCGAAGGCATATCTTGGCTTTTATCCTGTCTACGTTACAGCAAATTAAAACAGACATGGCGAAGACCAGTGATCGCTTTTCCTCCATCGAGCCTCGCTTCGGGCAACACTGAGGAAATCTCCCGGTATTACATGATGATCAAATTTCGGTTCTGGCCTATTCCTATAGGGAACTTGATTATTCTGAAGAATGTGTGCCATTGGCTACTGAGCCCCAAACTGAGGCTACTCAGCCAAAACACCAGGATATTAGGCCATCAAAGGAGACAAACGTCTCCCAATCATCCGAAGGCTCCCAAGCACACTTGGTGGCCAGCAACAAATCTCCTTTATACAATCCTGACTCCGCCCAGTTCTTATGGGAACCCACAAGGGAACTGGCTTCCTTCATAGATAAACAATTCCGTAGAAAAATGAGTTATGATCGGGTTTATGAAATCCTGGACAATTACAGTATGACTTCTGTGGATTTTCTCATAACAATAAGACTCAACAACTTCCTAGAGAAGTGGAAACAGATAACTGAAGACCCAGAAATTTTAAACGTTGTTTCGGGACATCGAATCCCATTCCGCTCTATTCCTGTTCAACTTCACATTCCTGTCACAAAATGATCGGATTCAACAGCTTCTCTTATACAGATGTAGATGCAGAAGCGCTGAAGCTCCTATCATTGAGGGCAATAGAAAAATACCCTTTAACTCAGCTAATACTGGACCTCTTACAGCAGCTAGGCTTCGCCATAAACTGGGAAAGTCCCTTCTAGACCCCAGCAGCTCGCGAAGTGGCAAACTTCATAGGCACCTTGGAGGATACTTGTCCCACCATCTGGAAGGCCCCTCTTTATTAGAGGCACTTACAAATACAGCTCATAAAGTATCTACATCTTTCTGTATCTTTCGCTCACAACGTTATAGAGGATCATGAAACCATGTGCTTGTGCAGGGGTTCCATAGGATTACCATTTGTTTTTTTAACCTGTCTCCGGGTCGGGAGAGGTTTTTATAAGCGTTTAAAAGTGGTTCGAAGCACAAATAAGCGGAATTCTACCTGATGTTTTGTCATGTATTTGTTACTTCGTTTGTTTATATAATTTCAATTATGCTGGCAAGCGGCCCTGGTATACGTGGGATATATATATATTTTTTTAATTGCTATTTTATTTATTTCTAGCATTTCCACTGCCTAACTGGAGCGTGTCCATTGGCAACGCTACTACGACAAGCATCCGATTCTCTTGGCAAAACCTGCAAACACTTATTGGTCAACTAATTAGTCATTACTTTGTAGTCGTGAAAAACTCATATGGTAGTAGTCTAAACAGTCACATCGTCTCAGGAAATACTACCTCCCATGTATTCCATGGATTATCGGTCTATAGAGAGTATCGGTTATTTGTTGTTGGTGTAAATAACAGTGGCGGGGCCTACAACAGTACAGAGAGCTCAGCATGGACGGACGAAGGGGGTAAGTGCATTATCAAAACGTTATTTAATTTTTTTGTTATATCAGTACGTATCGTAGGTACAGGCAAATAGTCTCATAGTATGTCATTGCGGCAACTAGCAACCAACAATGTGAAGAAACTACATCACGCGTTCCTGAAACGAGTGACGAACCCCTAAGAACGTCTGCGTGGGAGGCTAGGCAATTCCTTGATTCGCTCTGAAAAAACGCTTAGCCCTTGCCAGATCGATTCAGCTACTGAGTCTTTATACGACTGTTAAATCATTTCAGTTATCAACAAAGGCAATGATACAAATTCTTGAGTTACGCGATTTAATTATGTGGAGGAAACATTTAATTTCTACTCTAAAATTAATTAAATACTTAAAATAAGTTAATTAAAAAGCCTTAAAAACATTTAGTGAAAACAAGCATTTTTTTCCTAGTTCCCAGCAGAGCTCCATCGTATATCCGACTTTCAAACTTACAGTTTGCTGAGGTGAAAGTTCAGTGGCAACCACTCCCCTATAACTACGCAAATGGGCGTCTCCTTGGATACAAAGTCTTCTATAGAGAATACACCTCTTATTATTATTACTATTACTCGTATTTAACAAAGAGTGTTAACACTAGCAGTGCTAATGTTACCATGGTGATATTGAAAGACCTAAAGCAGGCCAAACGTTACCAAATAGCAGTGGCAGCTTTTACGCCTAAAGGCGAAGGACCGCGCTCGTCCTGGACTTTCATAACCACAGGTAATGCACAATTACTTTTAGGCCGGTACTAACTGTTATGTTCATTTATTTATTTATTTATTTTTAATTTGTAATTATTATTATAATGGGGTGAGTAATTTGGGAATCTGAACAGTATTTAAGTACGAAATTGATAGATCCATATAAATAGCCATCAAAATTCATTTATGATTCGAGGATTGTGGTCAAAAAAGCGTTTCGCCTTATAATTTTAGTGGGGAAAATCAGGAGAGTCTAAATCTAGAACAGTCTTAAAGATGTTAACAACATGACCGTGTATATATGTTGTGTCTGGGTTAGTCCCATATTAACCCTATTGACGGTAGACAATGTGTAGCTGTTTAAATGATCGTTTCCAACTCTTCATTCGAAACAAACAAAAATAAACCAATGTAAATTATCCTTTAAGTAAATGATGCAGTGGAATCTTTACTAACAGCTACCTCTTCGCAACGGCCAACTCTCCATCCGACCACCCCCTTCCCTCGTTGTTTTTTTTTTGTTTGTTCTTGTCCAGGCGTACACATTTATAAAGAGAGAAATAAAGGAAAAAAATAGTAAGAAAGAGAAAATAAAAATGAAATAAAATAAATGTAAGGCGCGCGGCGGATATTTTTCCATTAAGCCGGATCAGGACTAATAAATTTCCTAATATTATTTTATCTAAGGGAATTTGCAAAAGTCAGAACTGGCCGGTCAGACTATGGTCAGACCAGTCATTTTGACAAAGAAATAAGCTTGTTTTCCAAGAGATTTGCCGAAAAACCGTCTCCTTTGTGGATACTATTTTGGATTTGACTGATCTGGCTATATTCTCATTACTACAGGAATGGTCTGGCCGGTCAGTTCTAACAAATGGAAAGCGCCCTAAATTTCTTTCTTTGGTTATTGTATAGGTTGTGGAGGAAGCTTTAATCAGTCATTTGGCCAGCTACAATTTGGCCGTAAGAATTACTACGGTTACGTGCTGTGCACCTGGTCAATTGGAAATGTGGGAATAGAGCAAGCAGTTGCACTTACGTCAATACAAGAACTCTACCTATCATATTCATAGTGAGTTAAAATGAGACACTATGCTTCGAAATAAATTAGAATAAACCTTTTCTTTTGTTTTTTTTTGTTTTGTCAAAAGGGAAGATGGGAAGAGGTAAGGAATCGAAGGAGGAAAGAAAGGAAGGGGGGGAGGAAGGTGAAATGATAGGAAAAACTGGTAACTTTAGGAGACCAAACCAAGGACAGCTAGTTTACCATTATCAATGACAAGATATGTGTTTTCCCTTTGTTTTGCAGTGAATATGTTAAAATAGTCGATGGTAGAGGTGCAACAGTATTTATTCGCTATGGATACTCGTCGACCCCTCAAAAACCATTCGCGGAAGTTTCTTTTGGAAACTCTGAAAATATCACCGTTCAAATCTATCTATACGGAAGTTACAGTAACGCAAGGCTTCAATTTGGAATTTTACAGCAGGGATTCCAGTCAGGTTAGTTTCATTCTTACAGTTGACGTTAGTACTGTCAGTTTTTGTGTTTTGTCACATACATTTATCAGGCACTACCATCACTACCACCACTCTAGAAGTGTTTGTTGTCAAAGATAATAAGGAGAAACCGCTTGTGCAAAAAAGGAAAAATATGACACAAGCATGTCGCCTACGTCCGCAGTCATGACGTTTCAGGTTTACTTCAGTTAACAAAAGAGTTCAAATTTGCGCTCTTGACTGCCGTGCTGTCATGATAATGAATGTTTCATTGGTCGGAAACAAGGGATCAAGCTTGTCACAGTACACGGGTAACGAAGACTCTGGGGATGAGATTGGGCAGTTGCTCGCCAACTGAAGAATTCTTTTTGCCCATGGTTGTGAAATTTTCTTCTCGAATCGTTGTCATTAACTCTCCATTGTTGGAGACCATTGGAAGCTATCCTCGACAAACGTTGAACAACCGACGATGTTCCGAAACAAGAAAAGGGCTAAGATCGGGGAATATCGGATCGAAATCGGCAGAGTTCGTTGTGGGCTCGGAATCTATTGTTTCATTCACTCACCCACTCAACAGGAAAGCATAGTGTGGCTTACCAGCCTCTTAGGCGCTAAGCCACAAAAACGGGAAAACATCAAACCATGCACATTTAAACGTAATTTAAATGTTCTCTAAATTGAATCAACCCCCCTCTCTGTTTTGTATTTATTTATTTATTTATTTATTTATGTATTTATTACGACATAAAACGATACAAACGAACGATAAAGTCCGACGTTTCGGAGTAGTTATGACCCCATCATCAAGGAGAGTGTTTTTGGTCATGCAAATTACAGCATTTAACGCGATGTGGCGCGAAACTTAACATAACAGGGTGCGAAGATTATGAAAATACTTTCGCACGAATAGAGTCTGATTGCACGTTGAGATTTGGCTTTAAGATTCTTATGAAAAGCATTTCGTACACTAAACAGTCAAATTTGTTCCTGCATTTCTTATAATTAAGCACTTCGAAACGTTTCAGCAGGTCCTGATGGATCGTCTAGTGCACGTTCTTGTAATGTTTGGCAATGGCGGAGGACAATCTGTTGCTCATGTCCTTTTACACGATTGTTTAAATGTCCGCGTGTGTAACCTACATAGCCTGCATCACACAGGTCACATTGGAAGTTATAAACTACACACTGTTAATTTACGATCGGTCGCTTTGCTTCTTTCACATTCAGTTCTTGTTCAATTTTCCGGCTGGCAAACACAGGCTGGATGGTGGTGTTTACTTTTAGGCTCAGATCCTTGAGTTGTTCTTTCACAATATCTACTGAGATTTGGTCTTTAAATGGTAAAACTACTCGAACCGTGTCATCCATCTCTTTAGCTGGTGATAAAGGTCGCTGCTGGTCACAGACCTTTGAGTCAACGAAACTTTTGATGGTAGAGTTAACGAGGTGTTTGGGGTACTTTAAACGGGAGAATGCTGTCTTCAATCGCTTACATTCGTCTAAGAAGTGTGACCAACAAGAAGATAAACGATATGCTCGATCCAGATTGTCAACATGACTCTGGTAGTGTAAGAGTAGACTTGAATTCGTGGGTTTTACGTACACCTTTGTCTCTATTTGAGGCGATCGATTCAGTATAACTGGAAGCCAAGAAATGGGAGCATGCCATTGCATTCGGTTTCCATCGTGAATTTTACGGAGGAATGTGCCTTGTTAAGCGTGTCCAGGAAGATGCTGTTTCTATATTCGGCATGATGGTGAGCGTATCATCAACATACCTTCGATAGAAGGAAGGGAGTTTACCCTCTCGCTTTCTTCGGTTGAAGACATGAACACATTAGCTAGTAAGGGACCAAGGGGAGAACCCATAGCCATGCGTTCAGTTAAATAAAATAATAAAACATAAATAATTTATTCTTGCCTCTTTTTTTTAGCACAACTGGTGCCCAGTTGGAATGTTTCTGTTAGCAACAAAACAGCAACCAGCATGCGAGTTTCTTGGCAACATTTGGCACCACTGCTGAGCCAAAGTATCCTTCACTATGTAACTGTCATAAAAACTAGCAATGGAAGCATCGTGAATGGAAATATCCTGCAAGGAAATTCCACATCTAATGTTTTCTATGGCCTGTCGCCGTATATGGAATATCGAATCAGTGTTATCGGCGTTAATGATGACGGAAAGGTTTACAAGAGTTTAGAGGTCACAGAGTTCACTTATGAATCAGGTATGTTCATAACATTACCAGCACAGCCCAGTTTCTAACTCATTCATAATAGGCTATTTCCGAGTTGCCTCAAGCCTCTTTTTCAAAGCGAGGCTAAGCGCGAAGCCATTGATCTGAAATCATTCTTACTGTAATGATAATAAAACTCATTTTCACAAAAAAATAATTGCTTATGATTGACTACGATTATAGCTAATACGTTCCCTCTATCCCTGCATTTTTTCCAACAGCTCAAGTTCTTTGGGCACGAGAATTCAATCGAAAGTTGGCAAAATGCCAATAAATAAATAAATTTATTTATTACTATTATTATTATTATTATTATTATTATTATTACTATTATTACCTGTATTATTATTATTATTATTTCCTTATTTCTTTTTCTCTTTGGGTGGGGTGGTACCGTCTGAATAGGGCTAAAGCACGTGAGCACGTTTCAAACCATAGGAAGTCAGTCTGGTGCCATCCAATAATAATGGTCTACAAGAGAGGATTAAGGGGACAGAGAAGGCATCCCCCATACACACCCTATTCCTTAGGTAATTCGTCTCGAGTTATTTTTAAGACCATAGGTCCCAAGGGGGATTAGACAACAGCCAATCACATAGCGCGAATGTGTTCCGCGTGGATGACCCACGCTCAGAGCCACGCGTCCTTCACGAATTGACGCAGAAAAAATGGCGCAAAACGCGGAGAGCGATATTGCTATTTGTTTTGTCGACGAAACGACTAAAGAGAGATTTCTGCTATAGCTGTGTCAGCGAAACGGAAATTAAAAAATAAGCGCCCCTCTTCTCTTGTATAGAGCTAACAGTACAGCAGGGAAATCCTTAACACACGGAATATATAGCTGAGTGAACATTGCTGTTTCGTCTAGTTGAGTGGGTGAGCGAGCGCTCCTACTCATTCTGTAGCAGTGGTTATGGAACTTTATGAGCAGCTCTTACCAACCCGAGTTTATGCGTGTTATAAGACCGATAGTTCACGCCAAATTAACACCATCTGCATAATGTGCGGTAAGGTATCAAAAAGCCTTGCTCACGTTTTGGCGGAATGTTCATCGCTGGCGCTGACTAAGTACCTGGGCAAGCATAATGCTGCACCAAAGGTGCTGTTATTTGAAATGCCGAGGGACTTCAAGCTTGCCGAATCTGTTCCTCCGTGGTAGTCACGGGTGGAGCCCAAACGGTTGTACGAGTCAGAAAATGCTCAAGCATACTGAGATGTTCCTGTTTACGCAGAACACGCTTTCGTTCGAGACAACAGGGTAGACGCACGATTTGTAGGGCACAAGGCCATGAGGGTGTTGGCTGTAGAAATGAGCTGTCCATGGTTGGACAATCGCGCGAAGAAGGATTCTGCAAAGACGTCGAAGTAACAACCACTCCGGTGGGAGCTTACCAAACAGTACCCAGGCTACAAGATCGTACCGCTGAACGCCATTATGGAGGTTTTCACTTTTTCTCCTTGGTGGTCCAAGGAGCTAGATTTCGAGATGAGTAAGATCTTCGGTGCGCGATCGAGTGATATTCAGTAGAGAATGCAGAACGCTGTACTGTCCAGCTCTCTGAAAATTTTGCGGACATTCAAAGTTATTACTAAGAGAGGCCATAAGCCCGCATTTCAAGTGTTGTAGCATAGACAGGGGTCAGGATAAGCTTTACGTTTTCTTTAATTAGTATTCCATTTTTATCATAAAAATATTAGGCTTCCGTTATTATTATTATTATTATTATTTTTTAATATTATATAATGCATATATAGATAAACGGTCGCTTAGGCTTACTTTTTCATAATGTAAACCTTAGGTTTGCATTAGTTTTAGGATTCTTTATGATTTCTTTTTATTGCACCAGTGTAGATTTAACTCGTTATCACCTTTATAGTGTTGAATTCCCGTAAAGCAGTATAGGCTAGTAAAATTTGCGCCCTACGTGTCTAGTTTTCTAAGCATGCATACGTTGTAAACTGCTATAATAATATTATTGTTAATAATAATGGTTTCAAGCCAATGTGCAGGATTATTATTATTGTTGCTGACCAAGATCAGGCCATCAAGACCAAGCACTATCGTAATAAGATCCTAAAGATGGTACAGACCCAATATGCAGGATTTGTGGTCAATTTCAGGAAACTATTGACCAGATTGTGGCGGGGTGCACTGAGCTGGCCAACACTGAATATCTACAAAGACACAACAAAGCCGCCACATACCTCCAGTGGAACATCTGCAAAGAGATGAATTATAGACACACAAGAGAAATAGTACGAGCATGAACCCCAAACAGTAACAGAAAAAGACAAAAAAATCACAATCTTGTGGGATATGCCAATACAGAGAGATCGTGTGATAGAGGCTAACAGACCAGACGTTGTAATCAAGAACAAACAAGAAAAAAGCCGCCTGCTGATTGATATCTCCATCCCTACTGAAAAGAACACTTCAGTTAAAGTAACTGAAAAATTCTCAAAATACAAAGACCTTGAAATCAAAGTTGAAAGAATGTGGGGGATGAAAGCTACAACAGTTCCGGTAGTGATAGGGGCCTTGGAGCTAATTAAGAAAGGGTTGGAAGAATATATATAGGAGGTCCCGGGTAACATTAAAATGCATTAACTACAGAGGATCACACTACTTGAAACATCTCACATCCTAAGAAAGACACTCTCCATCAAAAATACTTCTACCTCATTATAAACCTAGGCCCAAGGAATGGGCACGGCTAGTATGTTGTATTATGGTATCACGTTCAAGAAGATAATAATAATAATGATAGCAATAACTTTTCATTAATATAATATTATGGACACAGACAGACAAACTTGTCTTTTCCTAATTGTAAAACAACTGACATATGGATCGGTGGTAACGTTTTATGGTCTCGTTTTATCTTTAGCGTTCATACTTAAGACTGTTCCATGTAATTTTCTAAATCGTTTTCGCATGAAAACAATGAGACGGTGGCCATGTTGGTGTACCAAAAAAATCACTTGGGGTTTAACCTCCTTTCTCACTTTAAGATAAACCTTCTCTAGCTTTAACCTTTCTATACTTTACATCTTTCAGCTAATGCTCATTCGACGCCCACTCCAGCTGGTTCAACGTTACCGCCAAGCACTTATTCAGCCGGAAATCAAAATACTTCCACAACGCCAACTGCAGATGGTTCAACACTTAAACCAAGCACGCCATCGAATGAACGGATGAGAGAATCGGTTATGTTGAAGGTCAATAAGATGGACATAAAAAAGGTAGGGTTTTTTTCTTATATCAAAAAATCACTTTTACGTAACAAATATTAACGATGAATATTTATTAATTTGTGTTTTTTTTTATGTGTTTACTTCTTTTTTTGTAAGCTCTTATCATGTTTATTATTATTATTATTATTATTATTATTGTTATCATTATTATTATTGTTGTTGTTGTTGTTATTATTATTATTATTATTATTATTATTATTATTATTATTATATAACTGGTGAAAATTATCGTCCAGATCTTCTTTTCCTTATCCAGTCCAAGTTTGAGTCTAACCTTAACAAGAATGCAGTGCTTAAAAAATAAAAAATGTCTGAACTTGATCAACGAAATTAGTAGAAATTACAGAGGTGTGAGATTTGTAAATCTCTCCATGAGATCCCATGAGATAGGAATTGGGATAGCCCAGACTTAATACAACTTTGATTTCTTGTCTTGTCTTTTTTTTTTTTTTTTTTTTTTTTTTTTTTTTTTTTTTTTTTTAGTCATCCAATCTCAAGCAGCATTGTAAATTGCCTATATGAGATTTACAATTGTACATTCAAAAACACAAATAAAGTTTCCATAGTTATTATTATTATTATTATTATTATTATTATTATTATAGAGAAAGGTCAAGCAGGACTTCCCTAGACTCAACAGCTATAGATACTTTATTATTGAGATGTACATAGAAAGCTTGATTTTTCAGTTTATAGACAGTTGTTTACATTTGCCCTGTAGAAAACCGCCAGACCACCAAGAAGTCATTTTTAACCACAGTTATACTGAATTTGTATCTAATTTTCAATTTAGGAAGAGTTTAATACACATTTTGCACGTGGAAATTAAAATTATTATTATTATTATTATTATTATTACTATTATTATTATTATTATTATTATTATTATCATTATTTTACTATTATTTTGGTTTGCTGTTGTTTTGCTTTTTACTCATGCAAGAATGTTTTTGCTTGTTTTTATTATTTATCAGTGGGACCAAAACATGGAACGCTCTTTTAAAAATGAAGTTGCAACAGCAGCGAGGGAATATTGTGCTAAAGCTCAATGTTACCCAGAGCAATCAAGGTGAATGGTTTTGTTTATTTTTGATTGCAAGACACGGATGAAGTCTTAAATTAATGATATCACAACTTAATAAAGCTGATCACATCGTCTTCATGTTTCATTATTTTCAAGGGTTAAGATGAACTCAGCAAATTGGCTTGCTCCCAATGTATGGGTCTTCATAGCTCAAATGGTAGAGAACGGCAGCACTAACGCAGAGGCCAATAAGTCGCGTTGCTTAAATTGCAATTACCACTGCCACGATCATATCTTGTGAACATTCTCTCCCTTTAAATCCTTGCCAAAGTCTTTCGTCAGGTTCCTCGTTCATGTTTCCGTTCTTTTTAACCCTATTCAGACTGAGGGGGGGGGAGCTTTTCGAACCCCCCCTCCGGCAAAATCGTGATAACTCCTACACCGAAAGAGCTATGACGTTCAAATTTTCTGACTTTTCCTAAAATTTATCTAGGAACATTTTGGTATAATTACCATGTCCATGTGATTAATCATGTTGCCATGGCAACCAGTTTCTGACACATAGGTTTTGGAAAATTTAAAAAATGGTGATTTTTTTGTTTTAAGATCGCGTTTTTACACTTATAGTGCTTTTTGTTGTTAAAATGGTCTTTGCTTGGGACTAGTTTTTGAATTACATCAAAATGTTTCAACATCGAATATTTGGGGGGGAGGGGTGGGGTAAAATTTGTCACTTTTTTGCTTTGACAAATATGCTGCTCTATTTTCCACATAACACTTCCAAAGTCATGTGTTTGGGTAATAAACATTAGTTTGATACTTCTTTTATACATTCTGAGCTTTTTCCCGTTTGAAAGTTGCTTTAAATTATAATTTTAACAAAAAAACGGAAATCCAAGATGGCGGATCCAGCATGGCGGATCCAAGATGGCGGACAACCATTTCAAATTTTAAATTTTATTGCTTCCTATTGCATTTTCTCGCTGTACAAGTGTTTCCTTGTTACTAGTTCATAAGAAAGGATAACAAAGAGATGACTTTAACAATATTATTGATATTTTACGTATCTAAGTGGAAAAATTATAAGAAACATTGAAAAATCGGAATATAACGTCACTGTGACATCATCATTGGGCGTGGCAAGTCAAAACTGGGTGTGGGGCGTCTTTGTACGGAGATGATCATTGTATGTAAATTTCATGACCCTAGCATTATTGGTTCCAGAGATACAGAGGGGGGGTCCGAGGAGCCCCCCCGCCCCAGTCACAGATTGACCAAAAAAGCCCAGTCAAAATAGGGTTAAGCATACTAGCTGTAATTTAACATTTTGATCATTGATGGCAATAAACAGCGTTCATAGAAGTAAGCAATAAGAACAAAATTTTTGCAATAATATATGTAGATTTAGCCAGGTCTAAAAGCGAAGCTCTCAATAATATTTATAGTTTGTTCAAACAAAATACAAAATAGTGGAATGCTTTGCGGCGAAGGCAACGCCGGAGAACGGTGAAAAAACAGCAATCGGTCTAATTAGCAAAAAAGCAACTTTGCACGTGCAGCACACTTTTTTTTATACCTGTCTTTGCCGTTGTTTTGCACGACTACAACGTGAAACCTCTAGAAAACTTCTTAGTTACACGTTTTATGGAGGAGATCTCCTACGTGTTCTCGTTCACGGGCTGAAAAACCTTTATCTTCAAAACGTTTTTTTTTTTTTTTTTTTTTTTTCACTACCGCCTATTTTCACCTTGCATCGGTGGCCGCTAGCATTTCTCATTTTGTCACCGCCGCTAGAAAACTTTCATGTTGTTCTTCCAACAAAAAATGTCTCCTTTGCTTTCTATCTTTCGCTCTATATCTCCGTCGCCCTTTTTCTCGTTGAGCTTCTCTAGCCTGCCGCCTAATTTATCTTTTTCTCTGTCTTTCTCTTGCTCTATATTCCAAATTTGTGGACATGACAATTAATCTAAGCTTAATACTTTAGAAAACACGGATAAAAGACAATTTCCGCTTTCCGTTTTCGTCTTCACTGGCTCTTTAGTTGTCTCTGCTTCACAAGACGCGGATGGTTCCCGTCAAAATAACCTCGAGTTGCATTTGGGTTGCCATACCTGTTGATTGAGTTATTTTACATTGCTGTGCCTGTGGTGACCTCTACCACGTCTTTTTGGTGATTTAAAAAAGGCGTTTGACAGAGTATAGCATAAAGCCCTTTGGTCTACTATGAGGCTTTATCACATCAACGCCAACCTGATACAAGTCATTGAAAACCTCTACAACAAGGCCACTAGTGCAGTCTACCTTAATGGTGAGATAGGAGACTGGTTCAGAACCACAGTCGGAGTCAGGCAAGGGTGTCTACTCTCACCAACTCTTTTCAACATCTTTCTGGAGAGAATTATGACTGACGCACTAGAAGATCACCAAGGAACAGTTAGCATCGGAGGCAGAACAATTACCAACTTACTTTTTGCTGACGGCATTGACGGCCTGGCAGGAAAAGAGGAGGAACTAGCCTCTCTTGTGGATCGCCTAGATAAGACCTCTGCAGCCTTTGGCCTGGAAATCAGTGCAGAGAAGACCAAACTGATGACCAATAACGCGAATGGTATCAGCATTGACATTAGAATCCACGGTGAAAAACTGGACGAGGTTGATAGCTTCAAGTATCTGGGCGCAGTCGTCACAGATCAGGGTTCCAAGCCTAAAGTACTGTCCAGAATCGCCCAGACAACAGCAGCACTAGCGAGGCTGAAGACCATCTGGAGTGATAAACATATCTCTCTAAGCTCGAAGATCAGACTAATGCGCCCCCTAGTTATCTCTGTACCATTGTACGCCTGCGAAACTTGGAGAGTGACAGCGGAAATCCTGAAGAAATTGCAAGCCACTGAGATGAGATGCTTTCGGAAACTGCTTGGCTTCTCATACAGAGATCACATCACTAACGATGCAGTCAGAGACAGAATCAGGCAAGCCATTGCGCCCTGTGATGATATCTTAACCATGGTAAAGAAACGCAAGTTAAAGTGGTTTGGGCATGTATCAAGACGATTTTACAAGGAACACTGCAAGGAGGGAGAAGAAGGGGCCGACAAAAGAAGCGTTGGGAAAACAACATCGCTGAATGGACAGGGCTGAAGTTTTGCCACGCCGTAAGAGAAGCTGAGAACAAAATAAAATGGAGGGAGAGGGTTGGAACGTCTTTGGCGTCCCAACGGTTATTGACTACGGGATAGGTGCAGGTGCAGGTGCAGGTGCATACCTGTAGGGCAGACGGACGGTCGGGCGGTCGGTGTACGGTCACGTGTTTACCAAATTTTCTCCGATGGGTAGTTTACCACATTTTCTTACCAATGAAGCTCCGCCGCGCGCGAGAGATCCGCTAAAAAACTTTATCCCTTTATCGGTCATCATCATCATCACCATCTTCGTTTTCATCATCATCATCGTCGTCGTCATTATCATTATAATTATTTGAGTCAGTTTGTTGATCTTTACTTTTCCATGATCTTACCTTTATATTATTTTGTTTTTATTTTCTCATTATTTGCATGTTTGTTATCTATATTTTTTTTTTTTTATTGAAGGCGCTCGTCTGTAAACGTCACATTTACGGCTGACATGGTTCACATTCTTCCTGGTTATCCCAAACAGTCAGACAATCCTCCTGAAGTAGTCTTACTGGCATTTTACTTGAGTCTTCCACAAGGAATTTCGGAAAGCAGTATTGTCCCTGAGACGGTATTACATAACATCGTGATGGGCCATAAAGATAGCATTGGAACATCCATTGGAGGTGAAATCTCAAGTGTCGATCCTTTCCCATCCGGCACAGAGCAACAGAAAGACGAGGAAAGCGACAAAGGAAACGACGGAAAGTCAAAACCAACCAACGTTATTATTGGGGCGTCGGTGGGTGGTGGACTGCTCTTAATCATTATTGCTGCCATTCTGATCGGATGCAAAAAGACTGACAGGTAATTCTAGTTTCGCGATTGTTTTTCGTTTTTTTCACTGACGCGCTCGAATGCTGTTTATGTTTGTCGTTTGCTTTTAGTGGAGAATGTGGTCTGAAAATAAAATATGTAACAATGCTTTGATTATCAAATTGTATTTATCCAGGTTCAGTCATAACAGACGTGTGGCAAGCCAAGAAGAATTAAAGCACCGCGATGCCGCACACAAGGGGACTGTAAGTACTTTTCCTAGAGGCCACGTCGATCACATTCATGCTGTTGAGCAAGCCGTGGAAGTGGAGGATGTAAGTGAGGATGACAGTTCGTCTTCTCCAGACAAGATTCAGCATGAGAAAAATCCGGCTGTTAACCCGATCCACGATAAACCAGCATCCCGCATTTATCCATCATTGTCTGGGGAACCGTATAGCGTGGCATTTGCGGGAAAGACTGATTATACGAAGGCAAGTAAATCAGAACTCAGTTATAATCCAGTCAAGAGCCAAAAAGTATTCCACGTTAACGAAGCATTCCAAGAATCCGATGTTACCGCCAATAGAAATCAAGACAATGGGTCCAAATCGCCGCCAAATGACGCTGATGGCCCAGAAAAGCTTGAACCCGACATAGCGTCAAACAAGTCACCTGTAAGCATCTTAAAAGTACAACCAGAGGACGAGAAACAAGATGTTGCAGGACAGTCATCAGCCGACACTAGTAATGAGGAACGAGAGTCCCAACCAAAGACTGAACATTCCGTTGATTACTTAAAACGTTCGAAAGCGATAGAACTGCAAGTTGTGACGTAAGTTGAACTCTATGCGCATGCTACCAACACACGCGCCTGCTATATTTTCGGGCATCGTTTTCGTTTTGATGCGTTTTCGACCGTTTTTAACTGTCCACACTTATACGACATCCATGCGTTTTAATCCACTTTCGATGAAAATGCTCAGCGTATCAGTGTGGACGGAAGGCCTAAACGCATCAAAATTTATGCCTTTACAAACGAAAAGGCATTAGTGTGGACGGGGTTTTGAAGAGTAGGTCAAAGCTTTCATTTTTCTGTAGAGTTTTCTAAGAAAGTAAAACGGTGAGGCTTGTTTCATACAATCCGATAAGAACTTTCGCCTCCGAGTAAGAATGCGAACATTTACCATGGATTGTTTAAGTTAGCTAACAATAGTTTTTAGTGGCAGTCAACAACTCTTATGAATGGTTCGTGTGCTACTTCTCTTGGTCATCATAGTTCACGGTGCACTCACTAAAGGCGTCAGGAAATGAGCCCAGTTATTTGTTAACACAACATTATGGCTATTCTTTGCATTTCAGCTTACAATATTAGCAACAGTGCAACCAGTTACAGTAAAATTAGTGCTTAAAACCATTAGTAACGTTAAGGCATTTTTTTTATATATAAATTCAATTTGCAATCAAATTGCTTCTTTGTTTTCATATTGTTGATTAAAGTAAAAGAGCTCCCCTGTTATTGTACGTGTTTTTTTGTTGTTGTCGTTGTTGTTTTTTTCTTTGTTAGGACTCAGTGGAGTCCAATTCAGCCTTTAATCATGCGAATGATTAAACAAATCGCAACACCAACGGACACCCAACAAATCAGACAACGGTAGCCCGATTTGTTTAATCGCGAGTGAAAGTACAGACCGGATTGGACGACTGACGAAGTTATGTTGCCAATTAATCATAACTACAACAAAATTTTTGATAAAGCTGTCTTAAAATTAACATGATACGCAATATATTCCCAGATTTTTTGCTAGCAGTGAAAAAGAAAACCACACACACACACACACACACACACACACACACACACACACACACACACACACACAAAATGTGTGTGTGTGTGTGTGTGTGTTGCTGTTGTTTTCTATAAATATATACCTAAATAACTGTAATTCAATAAAGTGCAATAAACAGCAAAAAGGCATCGTGTTTTCAGAGGAAAGATAGTACACCGTAGATTATATATATATATGGATCAACAATCTGAATTTCTATCATTTCCTACAATTTACTGTGGGAAAACCAGTCGAGAGTTGATAACCACTTGATCATTTTCTAAACAACGCTCCCACGAGTTCTTTCTATAGACTGATAGCAATTATTGCTTTCCAACATGTAAATAGGACGTTCAATGTCATTTTTGATTCTTTTAAGTCTCACTGCCTAACTAAAGCCAGTATCAATAGAACGTGCCGTAGCATTACTATCTTTTAGCTGCCCTAGTTTATTTAATGGTTTTATCGATGAGTAATCTTCAATAAAAGCGTTTGATTCGCGCGACATTTTGAGTACTCCCGCAAGCAATGTTCATTGAACGACTGAAAACAAACGGCAGCGCGATTAAAACTACAAGAGAGACTACTAACAAACAACAAAAGAAATATAATTCGGTGAAACATATACAGAGACAACAATTTTCATTCACGAAGACAAGAATTAGAGTGTCTCTAAAAATCCTGAGTCTTCATGGTTAAAGCTCAAGCTTACTCCCGGTGTTTGCTTTTTTCAAAGATGAACTCGAGGCAAGAAAATCGCTCAAAGCTTCTTTAACAGCCAGAATTATAACTAAGTATTCTTTGGAACGTTTCCTTTCTATTTGTGGTGAGAAAATGTCGAAGGGCTTTTTTAGCTCTGTAAGCTTATATCAAGCCTGATACTCGGTCAGGTCATTGTCGAAAATCTTACAATCGCGCGAAAACTAAATCGTCGCATAAACTACGCTCGACTTCATTAAATTAGATATAAAACCAAACGTCAAATACAATAATTACTCAGGCTTACCATTTGAGATGCAGCTCCTGAAAGGTTTCAAGTAAAGAACTTTTTAACTCTTAGGCTTACACATCAAGCAAGGTGAAGAACGAAAACAAGGCCATCCGAAATCGGATTTCCGACTTTGACAAGTGACGTATTTCTCCACCAAAAGCCCAATAAACAAAACTAGCCATGAATAACAGAAGACTTCTGGAAGCAGCTGAATTTCATTTTGCACATCAAGTGGAAAAAAACAGCTAAAAACATCACAAGTTGACACAAAACTTTGTCAGCCTCAGCTGTCAAAGTAAACAAATAAACAAGATTCAAGATGCTGCATAAATTTTCCACATGAGCTAACCTGTCAAATTTTAACCAACCAGAACATAAAAATTGGACGTAGAGCGTGATAAAAACGCATGACCATGGTGTGCAAAGTCAAATGCAACTGTCTTCGCTGCCTGTAATAGCTGGCTAAATTTTCGCGTCTGAGCTCAGTTTGAAATCAAAAATTTAATTGTGCAGCACATAAACACGACATATTTCATATCAATTTTAAAAAAATTGAACTTGAGCCTGCAATCATTTGAAAATTAGTAACTTGCTGGCGGATAACTTTAAAAAAAAATACTTGACTTCGATGGGTCGACACCTGAGCTCGCGATACGGTCAAGTAATTCTGGTCAGCGGATAGCCTGTTTTGATAGCTGTCAATTGATCACAACATTGATGTCCAATATGTGTGCATTATCAGTTTTCCTGCGCTCCCACACTAGCTAGAAGTATGAAATTAAACAGTGATCGCGATCTAGTGAAACAATTAACTGGTCAGCGGACAGCTTCCAAGTAAATCACGTCACCTCGATGAGTTGACACATAAGCGGACACCCTCTATTAAGCGGACACTTGAGAAGGTCCCGCACGAGTTCGCTAGAGGTTTCCCTAGAGTGTACTGGGGTCGGTTACTTAAACCAGGTCTGACTTAGACCGCGGTTTGGGAAATATGTGGACCTTCAGATCTCTGCCTTTGTGGAGTATTTTGAGACATTCATTTCTTTTCTACGCCATATGCTTTCATGAAACTGTTCACCTCAAAAGTGTATACATAAAAACTTTCGCCAAACTGAAAATGGCTTAGAACCGGGTTACGTTAAACACTGGCTAAACTCCGTTTAAATAATTAGCCCTAAGTACGTTAAAGTACCGTAGTCTTGGTACTTAATTCGTTTTAAAGGGGCCATGTCACAAGGAGAGCATGCGTGCTGCGATTATGTAAATTACTTACATTTGTCAAAATTCTATTGTTTTCAACGCGTGAATTTCTCTGTCACGTACAGAGCACCGAAACTTATGCATCAGTCAATTCCAGCGGCGCCCAGTCCCCCCCCCCCTCGAGCTACTGCGGAGCATTTGCCCGCCTTTTTGTCCCGGGAGTGGGGCATTTGCAAATTTTGCGCTGCCCGGGGGCCGGGCATTTGCCAACCCCGGGGTTATTCCCGAACTTTTGACACGCACGCAGTTTGCTATCAGAATATAACTAGACAGAGGATATTACTGGAAAAATAGCAGATCATATAGCTCATCTGTCAAGGACAGGGGGTTATTGTAAAGGCATGTTCTCGATTTTATGCATGCAATTCTTCATTGTCTATTAAGGTGGCTCCCTAGAGTATTTACTAATAACTCTAGCAATCTAACATACGTCTCAGAACGAAATCTAGTTACTTTATCTTTGCGATTTGGTTCACGAAATTCACCGCTAAGTCTACCCATGTAAAAAGGCTCCTTTATCAAGTTTCATTTTGTGGATTAAGGCCGTTGCCATGGCAACATCGCATCCTTAAACAGGCAGTAATTTTGTCATTTTTGATCATTTTTTCTTAATATTTCTTATTTCCCTCGGTGAAATGTCTTTAAACTTTGCCACGTTATGATAACGATATTGCTTAACATTTTAAAGTGGAAAAAACATGGGGTCGTCAAGACGGTTTCGCCAATGTTTTGAAATTTGTAACTTTTCTTAATAGAGGAGTTCAGCTCTTACAGTTTTTAACAAGAAAAGGACAGTACAAAGGTATTGCAACTGTTAATAAATGAGGCGATTTTTAAAAAAATTTACCGAAGGAAACGCGAGAAATTCACGGTTAATTAACTGCGCTGACGTCACAAAAATCCGAAAAACACGCGTGGCTCGAGGTCGCATGAGCAAAATACGCGCGCGAGCCATCACGCTCGCATGCGCATAAC